CCAATGGTCGAGACATTGAATTGATTTTGCGAGATATCCACTGGTTTACTGTCTCAACTAAACGCCGAGATGAGATGACAAAAAAGGTAAAGTCAACAGAGCCTCTTATCTTACTCTCTTTTTTTCAGCAACTTCTAAATTCGGAGGAGTTTTATAGTCTGTTTGCGTAGCCTTTTTTTGCTCTCTGTGCGTATTCAATCTCACCCTCTTTGCTCCATGTTTGTACGTCGTTTAAACGCGGAGGCAGAGAGTTAGGTGCTTGATCATCGAAACCACATGAACGCACAATCTCTAATCTAGGACATGTGTGTCATTGCCTGTACTTTGAAATTGGCAATAAACCATTCATCGTTTGCACTTACTAGAGAGACGTGTTTGTGAGTTAGGATTTAATTTGGTTGTAATTGTGAAAATGTTATTGCTGTCCAAGTTAATTGATTTTACTCTACCGCACCTCCTTATTCTTAAGGATAACATGGATGTTTTGTCAAACCATCATAGCATCTCACATACAGGCCATGTGTGTGTCATTGCTCGTACTTTAAAGACGAGAAAACATTCACCTGTTTATATTACGGTTAAAATTTCGTTTCATTGCACTTGTAGGGCATAAACTTCCCATCAGGGGAAATATCAGTAAACAAGAATTCGAATTCCACTGTCTCCCCCTTCCTGTTAAGCAGAAATAACTGATGTTGATGCCAGTCCAAATTTTTGTGCGTGCTTTGAGGATCGTCAATTTCACAAATACTTGTTCAATAGTGGTACACACTGACCTTTCTATCTCTGGTATATCAGCTTCTCTTAAGCTCTCTATGTATCCGATTCATCTACAATACTATCACATCCAAATGTGCGCGTGTTTTTATAGAATTTAGAGACATGACCGCCCTGAACGCATTAACACATCCACCTAATTACATTGAAGCATAATTTAACTTTGCTTAAGCTTCGCAGAATTGCCTAAACGGCAAAATGTCATCATTTGTACTTGCCTGGGACATTTTAGCTCAAGTTATGGGGGGGGGGTATCTATGTATGTAATGGATAGTAGTTACTATCCTCTTTTTTTCATACCCTCGTCTATGTAGGCTTAAGATCTTATCAAATTCTCATTTTTGTTAAATATTTATATCAAATGGCAGACGTCTTGATGGTTATCATTAGCCCTTTAGTTGACTTCAGGCTTCACAGAGAGGAAGGAACATCAAAGTGAAAAAAATCGAGAGGAGGGGGGGGGGAACAGAAGAGTGTTTCAAAAATGTAAAAGGGACAGACACAAAGGTGAGGTGAGTACTGTGAAAGTAGTCGACTAGAACATTCAGTGGGGTGATGGTAGTTAGAAGTCAGAAGTTTTTTTGAGGTATGAGTATACGTTTCCTAGGGTGCACCACTTGGAGGTAAGTCTATCGCACACCCCTCTTTGTCAAATAAAATGTATGGGAATATTTGATTCTCTAATGGCATAATGCGCGTTGATGACATTGGTACTGGCCTTAAAATTACCCTCAGGTTAAAGTCGTGATGATTAAACCGTTTTGTGCCTAACCCTACCGATGTTCTGCCACTTTTGAATTATGAGTTTGATGAAATTACACTACGTTCAATCTACATGTGTGAAATTGAAAAAAAACGATTTATAAAGGAATGTGAAATCTCATGTAAATTTGGAATAAGATGGTACGTTTTTTGTGTCATAGTCCATCATTGTTATTTTGATTTGTCTATGTATGAATCGGCTCCGTTATATAAGCATAAACAAAAGCGGCATTGACTTGAATTATTGTTAAATTCATGTTGTGTTTTCAGTTTTCAAAGTATCTTTTTCGATGGTTTGGTATTCCTTAAAATATAGCCTTATAAGGCGCTAAGCACGTTACTACTGGTGAATTTGAAGTAGGCTAAACTAGCAACTTTGTCAGTCAAATAGGAATGCGCCTCCATCAGCACTTTCACCAACACAGACATACAGTGGGCCAATGAGACACCAGGATCTGAGTTTCATTCATCTACCATCCTATGCTGCTTGAGGTAGCTACAATCATTATGACCAGAGAGATGGCTCCACTACACTCTATTTTTCCTTTTTGCATACCTCATTGAAATATAGTAATGTCCTCTTTTTATTGCCTTGAATGGGGAGCTCTGCTTTGATATGAAGTAGTCCCTATGATTGACTACTTCTTGAACCCGAGTTGATGCCACTTCGGTATCTTCATATTGGCTACAACAAGCGTGTAAGGAAGAATTTGATCATGTGACCACTTTTATCCTTTTTTGCTGCCAAATGCGTCTTTTTTTACTCTTTTAGACCTTTACATCCTTTCATTATGTGCCTTATCTTGCCTCTAAGATACTCTTGAATTAAATCCGATTTCCCTACGGTATAGTATTCGCTAAGCTGACTTACAGTTTTTGAGAGTTTGAGATTTACTGCCTTGTTCTTGCCAAGATGCGTCTCTATCTCCCCTCGACCTCCTCCTCCTTCCGTATTTTATTTCTGGTTTGAGAGAAAATTTTAGCCTTTTCTTTTCCAGGCTTTAGTGAATTATGCCCTTCAATCACAATTAAAGTCATCTTTTGCTGCCCAATGTTTTTGCTCGATCAAACCAATGCCAGGCAGCCCAGATGCTCTCAGAGCTTAAGATATTTTTGTCCTTTATATAACAGTTTGATGCTTAGCATTGAAAGGATGTTACACCGCTGTCAGTTTTCAAGAAAGTAGGTCAAACCATTTCGACTTAAGGCAGGAAGGGAGTGCTCACGTTAATTGACCAAATTTAAAGTATTGCGTTTCTTAAGTTGCAGCGATGTTAGCTGATATAAACTTTTTCTCATCAATTTAGTCACAGCAAATTATTATTATTATTATTTGAATTTGTTTTATTAAAATTTATTTTCCTTCCTAGGACCAGAATCTGAACTTTCCTCATCCATCAGCCAAAGCTCACCCCATATCCCTAAGATTCGCTGCCGTGGAGACCAGGGCTTTCGAACCGTCCATCCTTCTCGTCGAAATTTCGTCCAAACCACTGTTTCCGCTGTGGACCTTTCGTCAACAGAACCGTCTTGCACCTCATCAACCCCCTCCATTGATAATATCACTGCTTTACTTCAGTCTTCTTCGAGACGCCGATTCCTTGAACCCTCAGACTACTACTACTATCTCCATCAAAGCCACAGCCATCATCAACGCCAGAACTATCATCATGGTGAGAGATTCCGACGCGAGGCTGCTCCAAATAAAACCACATCGGAGACTGATTTGGATGCGGCTTCGATTATCCCGGGATTTTCGGGATATGCTGACTTCAGCCAGTAGGTTTTGTCATCTCTCGCCCTTTTTACTTGCACCCTTTATTTGTTAATTGTCAAATCTGTTAGTTTTCAAGATTATTTTACTTCTCTTGTAGGAGGAGGGAGGGGGGGTGGGGGCTGGGTTCTATGATTAAGTTAATTGAGTCGCCACTGCCCGGTTGTCTAATTAGTTAAGGTAATTAATAAACCCAGTGCCTATGAAACTATTTTTATCACATCGCATCAATAGCACCCATATTATCTGGGAATTTTATTATGCCCAAACAAATTATCTTTCTTATTTCCCAAGTCAGCTTTGCCTCCCCCCCCCCCCCCCCCCCCCCCCCCAATATCTTATTGGAAGTATTAATAGCACTTTGATTGGATAGAGGTTAAGTATTCATTGCCCCTCTTGTATGGTTGGCTATCCATATGGTTGAATACGCTCTGATGGGCATACTTTTCGATGAAGTGAGTGGAAAACGCCTAGGACCCTCTAGTTAAGTAATTTTTCGTTCCTGTTTATTATTGTCAATAGTTGTTCACTACTCCCTAATCTTCGTGTGGATCATGAACCCATACAATATAGCGAAAAAGGTGATCATGGTGATCGCTTTTCATGAGCCACAACTTACTGTTCACGGTGGGGTTTTATGGTTTAAGTTGTTTTGTCTGCTTGAGTCAGTCTAGTTCCAGAAGAAGAACTAGTTAAATCGAATAGTCATTGAGAATGTGGTGGCGTATCCCCAAAACTGAGTAGATACTCTGTAAATCGTCCTCGAAAGTGATAGTAAGTCTCTTCACCAATGTTTTGAGTTTCATTCAAGAAAAACTGTAGGAGGATAGGCTTTGGTACATTCCATTGTGCTAAGTTACATTTGACAACAAGGGGAGTCAATCATACTCAGAGTTTATCATATGCCTTGTCTGGAGGACTGGGCATTATTATAGCAAGAATCCTTCCCTTTACTAAACCTCTAAATATAGGTCCATGTTGTCAAGATCTTTGAGGCTTGTTTATTGTCCAAGGATTACCAAATTCAGTTAATTATGGCAATAGTGGATTATTACTAGTCTGCTAATGGGCTATGACTATGTGACCATTTCTCGATGAGCCTGTTTCGGATATATTCTAATAAGGTGATTTGCGAAATAATATACTAGGAAAGGTCATATGGCAATATTTCTAAGTGGAAATAAGACCTTTAAACGAATATTAAGAAACTGTCATGAGGTGTATTCATGAATTGTGTACTTGAAAATCGAAGTAATATATCTGCTTTGGAATTGTTGGAATAATTTCAGTATCTACTGGAATCTTGGTAACTGACGTCATTGTCTCAGTCAGGAGTTGCTTTAAGGTAATCCTTAATTTGATAACCCATTCAATTTAATCAATGGGGTGATATTTTCAGGGTAAATTAAACTCGTTCCTTGTAATGGATGAAACGATCACTTTGGTTAGTTATTATTTGGCGAGAAATAATCCATTCTCTGTTTAATTCCCTCATATAATGGGATTAATCGCGTTGGAAATTCGATTATCCTTTAAATTTCATAATGCTTGGTTGCAGTCACGCAAGTTTTCAATTATATGGTTAGTGAGAACTCGTCATTACCTCCATTTGACTCCCTAAGCGTCATTGTTGTTCTCCTATGCCAATAGCAAAAAACTCTTGCGCAGGTTCTTAAACATTTATATCACTCTTTCCTTCCTTTGTCTAATCCTCGTCTATTAGTCCATTGTGAATGTCAACAGGCCTCCACGTGCCCTTCATCTTTTTTCCCCCTTTAGGACGCTCAAGTCAATGCCTAGTAGCACCCTCTATTATGCCGTCTCATTTCATTTACTATATTTTAAGCCATTGCTGACTCCTTCAGAGGAAGATCCCCAATTGAAGTGCTCGGAGTGCCTTCTCCCAACATCACGCTCTACTTGAAGCTTGATTTTAATGTTGTATGAAAACCCTCAGTTGAATAAGATTACCTGAAGTTTTAATTGTTTCTGAATGCTTATATCTGCTTATTCGGGGTGTGCAATAGACCTCCTTGTAGTGCACCGTGGGTAACGTATACTCATATGGCAAAAAAGTCTATAAACCGGCAGTTGACTTCTCACTTCAAACTACCATCACCCCACTGTATGTCACACATTCGACTCCTCTTACCTTTTTCTCTGACTTTGTGTCTGTCTGCCTCTTTTATATCTTTGAATCCCTCTTCTGTTACCCCTCTCCACTTTTTCTCATTTTGGTGTTCCTCCCCTCTGTGAAGCCCGAAATCAGCCAAAGGGCTAATAATAACTATCAAAACGCCTATCATTTGATATAAGTATATCTGCTTATTCCAGTTCAAGTGAATAATCCAACTATGGAAAGTCTGTCAACAACAATCTTTATACTATGATTAGTTTTTATTGCCTTGTTCAAAGAGCCCATTCTCTTGACTTGACCCTGTGACGTATTCTCTCTTGGGTATTCAGTCGCACCACCATTTGCGTTGAATGTGACTTTGATGTGAACTTTCCAACTGTGATGTACAAGTGTGATGCACGTATTATTTTCAAGATCATCGGTGCTTTATTCTATAGTAAGAAATAATTTAAATAGAATTTTTAAAATCTCATATTGAGAATCCACTTGCCCTTTTTGAATAAAATCCTTTAATTTTGAAAAGGTAATTTGAGCCCCCTGTGTAAGCTCTTAATTCGCAAGGGATTCGAGTTTGGCTTGACAGTGCTGGAAACATTATCGATCTGGGTGTACACTTTTGAAGTAATCCATCAACTTCCTTGCACTCGAATAACTGCTTTCTTAGTTTCTAAGTGCGCCGAAATTTCGCACTCTCTTTTTTTCAATTAAAGATTCCTTAATAACGAAAAATGTTCCAATTAATACTCAATAAGCTGGTTTTGACTTTCTCACCTCCATTATATCAGGATCTGGGGGTGTGTGATAGACTTACCTCCACGTGGTGCACCCTGGGCAACGTATACTCATGGGGCAAAAAAGTCTATAAACCGGCAGTTGACTTCTAACTTCAAACTGCCATCACCCCACTGTATGTCATATTCGACCACTTTCACAGTACACACCTCACCTTTCATCTACTTTTGTGTCTGTCTCTTTTACATCTTTGAAACACTCTTCTGTTCCCCCCCCCCCCCTCTCTCTCTCGACTTTTTTCGATTTGATGTTCCTCTCCCTCTGTGAAGCCTGAAGTCAACTAAAGAGCTAATGATAACAATCAAAAAGCCTGCCATTTGATATAATAATAATAATGTCAGGATGGGTAAGTTTCTGTGAATATCACTTAAGGGTGTTTTCGCCTTCTAGACTAGTGGAAGTAAATATGCTTGGAAATGGTTAGACCGATCATCATTATTATTATTATTAAAAAAATCGATTAATAAGCTCGCAGCCAATCATGCATAAAACGAAGCACAAAGCCTTAATTATTGGAAATTGAAGTACACAGAATCCAAAAATTTAATGGCTTAAGACTCTTCGCTATTTTGGATCTGCCCTTGGCATCTCTGTTGCCTCCCGACCCTCACCCATACCCCCCCCCCCATTAACACGATGGAAAAGTTGACTTAATTTGCTTAGAGGTCTGAAGAGCAGTTGCTATCTCGCTCCTAATTTGCTTAATGAATTGTGTTTTCTAGAGAAAGGGTGGCACCTCTTTTTTGAATTTTGAAAGACTTCACTCCACTGAACTTCGGTCTTCTTTCTCGATGCAAATTTTATCCCTGTGACAGTGATTTTAGACCCCTCTTTCCAGTCCCTTCTCTGTGCTCAAATTAAGTGGTATTTGCATTATTGATACTGATTTTGGGTGTTTAGTATTCATACTTATTCTGTCGCTAGTGTACTCAAAAAGTTATCTTTATAACTGGTCCAAATCTTTTCACTATGTTCTCCTTCTTTCATTATTCCACTAGTCACAATCAGCGCCATCGACGCTTTGGCACAGTTCAACCACCCGATTTCTCTCGACTTGGCGTTAGTAGCAGTGGCGGTGGAATTTTCGACCGTCTACGCAGTCTTCTAAACCTTGAAGACGACGACGAGGAGGTGGAAGATGATATAGATTCTGCCTCTGGTTCCTCCTCCCTTCCACAGATTTTTCCTCCCCTCATACCTTCTTCTACCACTACTTCAGTTGCCGCGTCAACTGCTACTATGAACTCGAGTTCAATTCATTTACTTCGTGGGCATTCGCCGACTATAAAAAAGGCACATTCTAGTGAGGCCACTCTATCGGCATTCTCGAGTAATTTGTCGTCAATAGGAGATCAAACTAAAAGTGTCGGAGGTATGTCAAATTGCCACTTTCTTTCATAGTCGTCTGAATGGTTTCATTTAGTTATCACCTCCATAAATTATGCTCTTTTTAGTGATGGATAAGAACATTGTCTTTGCTATTGCCCTTTCTAGTTTTACGAATTGTAGTACCCCAAAACTTGAAGGAAACAGATTTAGTTGTAGAATGTGTATATACAGGGAGTAATTTTTAAAATGCAAAGGTCGCATTGTGATAAGGGTGAAAAAGTGGTTGTTAGGTAGTAGAGGACAAATGGTTTACAATTTTGAGACAGAAGACCCAGCCGAGACGGTAGAAAACTCAATTACATTGGTAAGCAGCAACTCTAGGTACCTCTCGGGGTTGCTATAAAGCCGCCTGTATGGTAATTTGAATATTGACAGACAGTCTCTTATCCTGCTCGGTCCTGACCAAATATTCCAGGATTTGATTTATTTTGGTGTTTGCGAACAGATAATCGACTAAAATTCCTTTTGCTAATATTCTTGTGAGTTATTTGCCATCTGTGCCTATATCTCGACATGGACTAGCCGTTAAATTTTGGCATGTCAATATCAATTGAACGGGAAGTTATTTATAAGTGAAGATTGTGGATATGTGGCCATCGGGGCACACAGGTACACACACATCCATTTAAGTGCAAGTCGAGTATAGTTAAAAATTTGACATCAATGTCATAAATTTGACAGCTATAAAATCTTACCATGCTATATTCAATTAACTTGCCTTAATCGATTTTAACCAAGGCCTTGACAATCGCACAGCTGTCCTTCCATTTACCTAATTAATAAGTAGTAGCAAATGATTGCATTATGCCAACTATTCTTCACCGGTCAACTGTTAACTTTTGATTGAACTCGAGTGCTAGCATTCCCTGAATCTGACGTTTTAATTCGTATTGTTTTGTCAGGCGAGTTTCGAATGATCGTGCCCGCAGAAGTTGCCTAAATCATTTCTTAAATATTTGTTCATCTGAATCATATTAGTTTCTATTAACTACCTGATTCTCTGAAGAAAAATCTCTCTTTTTTGTGTATTCTTCACACTTCAATGGTTAAGCCAAAATTTTTGAGTTGGTCGATTTCAGCTCTCAACTCCTCTTCTGCCGGTTGTGGTGATTTATATGCGTCTTGTTCACCTCCCTCCCACCAAGTGAATTTCGCCTTTTACATATTTCATCGTCATTTTTACTCAAATGGTAGCTGTCACCAAGCCTCTCGTCTCCTATTTTTAAGCATTTAATTGGTGTTTGAGGATAGTTTTGTTTTTTCTTTTTTCACTCCCTCACACCTGCACCTACAAAACTCTCACGTGCGATTTTGATATTGTGAGCAAAATTTATTTATTTATTTATTGGCATTTTGATAGTTATCATTAGCCCTTTAGTTGACTTCGGCTTCAACAGAAGGGAGGAGCATTTTAGCCCTTTAGCTGACTTCGGGCTTCACAGAGAGGAGGAACATCAATATTTATACTAAAAGGGAGGCGTTTTGATAGTTATCATCAAAAAGTGAGAAAAATTTGACAGGGGAAAAGAAGAGCGATTCACATATGTAAAAGAGACAGACAGACAGCCAGACACAAAGGTACAGAGAAGGCTAGATGAGTACTGTGGAAGGGGTCGAATGTGACATACAGTGGGGTCATGGTCGTTTGAAGTCAGAGGTCAACTGCCAGTTAATAGACCTTTTTGTCGTCTGAGTATACGTTGCCCAGGGTGCACCACGTGGAGGTTAGTCTATCGCACATCCCATTTAAGCAAAATTAAGCTAACCTGAATTTATTCCAAGAAAAAAAACTGTAAGAAGAATTGGAGCTGAGTTGATTCTAATTTCGTGAAATGCGATGACTGATCAGCAAGAAAGTGTGTGTGTGTGTCGTTGACTTCATGATGGCTGCTTCAACTAACGCTAATGCCACTAAATCCCCGCGCGAAAACAACCTTAGGAATCCAATGTGTTGAGGCTTTAAAATGCCTCCTTTCAAAATTTAGTATCTTCCTAACGATCGGCGGAAAACAACAGCCCTTTCCAAGACAAAAGTAATGAACAAGTGATCATTGGAGGAGGGGGGCAAAGTGGGATTCAAAATTTGGCATTATAGACAGTAACCGTCGGTGAAACTCGAATGAATATGGAAATATGAGGATAGGTCAAGTTGCTTAGCCATTAGATAAAGCGGACTGCTTCGCTTTCCTTCCACTTCAGTTCAAGTTTTGGTGGTAATGAGGATGCCCAGATGTCTGAAATAGCCCAAGCTATCAATAGCGTGTACCTACTTCTTCCGAGTTGTTCATCTGGGTTGTGTGCTTATTTCCCGCACTCTCATAGCTTAAACCACTAATTTCTCCGCTAATCTTACTTCAAAGCTACGCTTTTTTTGGAGTTTGTCTAGAGTATTCGCAATTTTTCAGCGCATTTTGCCGTTGCATTATTCATGCTTATGATGACGCGCATTTGAGTTGATTCTTCTCTTCGATGGTTTTACCATTGTTTTCACCCCCCNTTTTCCCCCCCCCCCCCCCACCCCCCACCCCCCACCATTGGATAAAAAGGGCATAAAATGTGATTGATTTTGAATCCATTTTTTATTTATATTAAGTGGCAGGCTTGATGATATTTATCAATAAGTCTGTAGTTGACTTCGGGCTTAACAGACTAGAGGAACATCAAAAGCACAAAAAGTCGGGAGAGGGAAGGGGGGCAGAAGAGTGATTCACAGATGTAAAAGAGGCAGACACAAATTTAGAGAAAATGGCAAGGTCAGTACTGTGGAAATTGTCGAATATGACATACAGTCGACTTATGGTAGTTTAAAGTCAGAGTTCGATTGCCAGTTTATAGACTTTGGCCGTATGAGTATACTTTACCCAAGGTGTACCACGTGGAGGTGAGTCTATCGCACGCTCCTGAATTTGAATATTGCGCTTTCTCAATGGGGGATGAGACGAGGGTTGAATAAGGTAAAATATGTTTTCTAAGAACAAGAATGTTTCTGGCGCTTCATTTCCATTTCACATCTCCTTGTTCTTACCATCATCAGCATACGTGAAAAGTTGAGTTCTATCGGGAAAAGGGTTTCAAGTCATTTTGGTGACAACTACATTGACTTCCATGAAGGGTGGTTTTAATTCCTTTGTGACTTAATGATTTCATACTGTTTGCGATTCGACTTTTAGTTGTTTGATGCCAACCTAAAAGCCAACGCCCGATTTTTTTTCGAGTTTGAAGAGTGCATTGCTGTACCACTCCCATCTTCACTATAGATTAATACTTACAGCTAGTTTTATAGCTTTGAAGAGTTCCGTCTTTAACACTCTTAATTTTTACTTCTCATTCCATTTCCAGCCAGGTTCCTTGTTTTTCCTCAATCTTTGTTGAAACCGAATATTTCAAGAAATTGAGATTGGCCTTGATGATGAATCTTAGATTAGGGAATTCGTAAACGAGGGCAATTATTCTCGTGCGATTGAAAAAGTGTTTGTTCTTCAATACTCATCTTATCTCCCACTGACCCCAGAACTCAGCTGAGTAGTATTAATTGCTACCTACAAGCTCCTGTTTCACCATCAGAATAACCGATGTGTCGGGATGACAACTTTAAATCTCAGTCTACTGGTCAATCAGATCTAAACACTTCGAAACTCTTCATTCAAACTCTAAAATGTGAACTTTGCAATGACAGGTCATGCAACAACAGAGTATATCCTTGAAGTAGAAAACTCAAAAACTGATGAATTTGGAATTAAATTGAACCAAGGCCTCTGAAGAACCCTGGTGTCATCCCTTATTTCTGTCTAACTCCTTTCCTTTTTATTGGTCTACTTTACCATTTTTCGTTTTAACTTTCTTCATTCCTATTTGCATTATGAGACGTTTGCCCCATCTCATGGGTTATAAATTCTTACAAGTATTATAGTATATTATCACAAGTTTTGCCTATAAACTATGAGTCCATTTCTTCTGGAGACTGGGGGGGGGGCTTGTTAAATATTCTAAGCAGTCTCTCTGTCTCCCTCACTTGGCAATGTCGACTAATCCATACCATACCCCCCCCCTCCCCGCCTCTCCTCCCTATGGTTTGTTTCAGACCACAGCGCTGTATATTTGTGTTAGTTTATTCATGTGTTGTCGGGCAATGGATATCCTGCTCGAAGCGACAACGGTGGGAGGGGGTGGTGGTCTTGGTTTATATTGAAATTCCCTACATATCTCACTTGTAGGGAGTTCGACAAAATGGAAAGATCGGTTATTGCTTCCCATTTACCTCAATTGAGTATAATTATTATTGTCAACAGGTGTCCACAACACTTTTCTGCTAGCTGCAATGCCAAACTGAATGGGAAGCACTTAGGACGCACTCATGAGTCCTAACGGAGAAAACTTTATATGTGTTTTACTTGGGAAGAATGTTAATAAATTAATCAGTAATCATGTGACCGGCCCACCTCAATTTGAAGAGGAGCAAGGTTAACAGGACGCTTTATGCACTCCAACTGTTTTTACTATTCACTTTCGACGTTTTGATAAACCGTTTGATTTCAATATCTCTATAATTCGAATTGAAATTTCAAACTGCTTTCAACAAATTGTCATTTGTAATCCATATGGTGATGACAATTCAATTTCTATTGATTTGAAATGGTCTCACTGTCTAACACGATTGTTCCAAAATTATTTCCTGCAATCGATGGCAATTGTTGTAGTATTTTACATGCCTGAAATGTTGATAAAATCATAAAGAAGCGTTTTTTGTACTTATCTAACTGTATAAACTAATGCGTTCGATGTACTTTCTGACCAAATGTCCATATTTATTTGCGTACTATAAGTTATGAACCTCTCGTCAAAATACATGTAAAGAGACTGCTTTGAAATTTCGCGCGTTTGTACTATTGGTTTTAAACAAGTAAATATTCATAACTCGGCGTTGAATACCCCATGGCAATGCATTCGCGTTAAGAGCATTACTTTATGCAAATATCAACCTCTATATTGACGAATTTAAACTTATTTTCCTG